TCCCAGGCTCAGGAGGCCGAGGCAGGAGGACCCTGAGTTCAATGCCAGCCTCAGCAATTTAGAGAGGCCCTAAGCAACTCAGCAAGACCTGTCTCTTAATAAAATATAAAAAAGGGCTCAGTGGTTAAGCACCCCTGATTCAATCCCTTGCACATACATACACACACACACACAAAAAAAACAAAACACTCCAGAGAAGCTTAAGTTGCTTATTCACCCAAAGTCTAATTTGGTGACATTTTCAAAGACAGAGACAAAAGAGTTCAAGTTCTAGGACTCTCTAGATTATCAGGTCCAGCGGTACAACAGAGCTACTGCCCTGACTACTCATGATTTCCCCTAGTTTCCATATGATTCAGACTACGGCTGCCCAGTTCCAAGGCAATCATTAAAACTAAGAGGAGGGGCTGGGGTTGTGGCTCAGCAGTAGAGCGCTGGCCTAGCCTGTGCAAGGCCCTGTGTTCAATCCTCAGCACCACATAATTCACTATAGCTTACTTACTCCATAGCCAACCCAAGATCCTTGCCTGCCTCCACCCAGCCCTGGAAAATCCTAGAACACAGGCAGGAGAAGAGCTGCCCCACCCAAACCCTGACTAAGCTGATCTGGGGCCCAGACCTCACAGTTTAGATGTTCAGCAAGCTGGACAATTCTCACCACTTTGAAAACAATGGATACACATTGTCTAATTCCATTCATGTGAAATGTCCAGAAAAAGTAAATCTTTGGAGACAGAAAGTAGTTGATAGTTGCCTAGTGGCTGGGGGTGTGGTGGGGTTTTGGAGAAACAGGAATGACTGTAATGGGTACGAGGTCTCTTTAGGGGGTGATGCAAATGTCCTAAAGTTGTCTGTGATGAGAGTTATACAACTCTGCAAAGATATTAAAAACCATTGAATTGCATACTTTGGATGGATGAATTGTATGGTATATGGATTTTATCTCAATAAAGTTGCTACAAAGGGAGCAGGGGGAGAGAGGAGGGAAGGGAAAAAAACCATAAATTGCTACAAAACAAGTAGAGAAAGAAGAGGTTGACAGTCACTAGAGACAGGGACACAATGGTTGGGGTACACACCCTGGGAACTAGTGTCAACTATTAAATAAACATATAAAGACATCTTCAAGTAGAAAAAAATTAAGAAATAATATAGAAAAGTTAGGAAGCTTTGTGGGACATACGTACAGACCAGGACAGCCTCCGATATATCTGAAGAACAAAGGAAAAGATGGGAGTTTTATTGGAAAAGAGAAAAGATACAATAAGTTTTTTTTTGAAAGAATAACTTTTGATGCCCATCATGTCCTTTCAGGTAGTAGCAGGTGCTAGGTAAAACTTGTAATCGTAAAGCCATAACAGGTTGTTTGGTTAATGGCAAGTGTTCTTATCTAAGATGCTAGCTGTCCTTGTATGTCTTGTGTAGTATGGTGTGGTTTTGGAAAATATCTTGTGATAGTTGCTACTATCAGGTAAATCATATGTGAGTACCTTCCTTTCATGGTCTTCCCTAACTCCATTTTACCAAGGTTTGACACAATTAACTCCATTTGAATCTCATAATTTTCACACAAGGATAGGAGGTTGGGAGGCCAAAGCAAGACAGGGGAGCAACTGGGCACAAAGATAGGTGAAGCTCATGATATCATGTGGAAGTGTCCTACAATGATCCCCAGAGATGGCCTGAGGGGAGCCCTTCCTGGCCTGACACTGATTGTACATCATCTGGAGCTATCATAGAATCAGAAACAGTGACTGGGCTCTGGGAAGGTCATCTCTCATTGCAGGAACCCTTCAGGGACAAGTGACACAGGGCACTGGGCTGGGGGGTAGGGGTGACATGGAACAAGAGGAGTTCCCCAATCTCTTTCTAAAGACTTGAGAACAATGTAAATAATTTAAACAATCAATGAATTCAATTAATAGATGTTAATAATCAATATCCATCATATTATAGAAAGAATTGTGATAATAGGGGAAAAACAACCAAAAAAAAGAACAATAGGCAAAAGATGAAATTTTCTCTTGAATATTGTTTATAGCTAATTAATATTTTTAAAGAGACTTAAGCTCACAAGTCATCAATGGAATGTAAATTAAAGCATCAACTGGACAATCTTTTTCACCTCCACAGAATAGGAAAAAATTAAGAGTGAAATCAGTACTGGTAAAAGTGTAGGGAAACAGGCAATCAGGCAACATCTGTTAAAACTCTAAAATGTGCATTCCCTTTGACCCAATAATACAATTTAGAGGAACCCAGCCTACAAAAAGACTCATAAATACACACAAAGCAATACACATACTCAAGGATGTTCACTGTAGAACTATTTTATTTTTTATTTTTATTTTTTGTAGAACTATTTTAATAGAAAATCTATAGACAAACTAGATGTCCTTCAACAGAGGAATAATTAAATAAGAATGATATAGCCATGTAATAAAATACTACATAGGTCTAGGAGAAGATGCTGAAAGAATGTGCCAACAGGGACATTCCAGAGAATAAGATTTTAGGAGAAAACTAACATTATAACTTTGTATTATGTTTATAATTAGAAAAAAAATTCAAAGGAAACAAGTTGCTGGGGTATGATACTATTTATGTAAAATATAGAACAAATTTTATGCATATGTATATATGTAATAGCCAAATAGGAAATGGGTCTGAAAGGGTCTGTATCTGTGTATGCTATGGTTTAAAGGTTTTATGATAAGAAAGCTTAAATATAACCTGTTTAATTAATTTATTTCTTTATTGCCATGTTAGGGATCAAACCCAGGGTCTCGTACATGCTAAGAAAGCATTCTATTGTTAAACTATACCCCCAGCTCTAACTTGTTTAATTTCAAAGGGAAAAAAACCCAAGCTGGGGCTTAAGAGTATACTGCACTGTCCTGCCAGCTCATGTCTCTCCCTAAGCAAGCTCCTCCATGCACTCATCAGCTATGGTTGGGGAATCCCCTAAGCCAGATGCCTCATCTGAGCTCCAAGGATACAAAACCAATGACCTTTGCAAAATTTCCCTCTAGTCACATGCAGGACTTCATCTCCATACCAGGTTCTCTAGTCTAGGATCCTCTCTGCAGATGACCCCACTGCCATCCATGCTGACCCCTGCCTCTCCCTGACCCCTACCCAGACCATCACCACATCTTTCATTTACCTCAAACACATCTTGGTTCCCACCTCTGCCACCACTCCAGAGGGCCACAGTCTGAGGAGCTGTTATGGCTCACATGGACATCAACTCTTGTGTCAGCCATTCACCATCTACCCAGCAACCAAATGGTAGCTTGAGAATGGGAAATTTATTTGCAGTTACTCCCTGCTTAGACACTTCAATAGCTGCCCATTGTATCCAGGAACAAAGTCGATTCCTGAAAGAGGCCTGGAAACCCCCCAGTCATCCTCCCTTCTCTCTGGGCTTTATCATCCTGGCCCTTCTCAAGTCCCCGGGGTCACTATGCAGGTAAGTTTCACCATCTGAGACTCTCTCTTCCCCTCCCCATGATGCCTAGTTAATTTCTAGTCATCCTTCAAGTGCCAGCTCAATCCTCAGTTCTGAGGTGAAACCTGCTCTGACTCTACCCGTTTACTTTCACTGCCCAAGGTTTTCATCATTACATTCTGTCTGAAACTCAACACTTTTGTGATGTTAAATTGATGTCTATTCCCATCCCTAATTCTAAGTGCCATGAAAGCAGAAAATTGTCCCTGTTCCCAGATGCCTAACTCCATGTCTTCAGCAAAACAGGAATGCAGTATTTGATGGGTCTGCAGACAAATTCTTGAATACTGCTATGGTGTGAAAGCACCCCAGATTCATGTGTTCAAACTTAATCATCAATATGATCAAGGTAGAGCTTCCGTGAATGGGAATAGTGACCTTGTAACAAGGATAGAAGGAAATAGCTGGGTTCATTTAGCCCTTCTGCCTTCTACCCTGTGTAAACTCATCATTCATCCCTTCTGCTGTGTGAGGATGCAACCAGATGGCCCTCATCAAACACCAAAAGTCTTGATCTTATACTTCCTGGATTACAGAACTATAAGAAGTAAATTTCTGTTGTTTATAAATTATTGATAAAGTTATTATTTATTTTTCAGTATTAGGAATTGAACCCTAACACTGAACTACAACTCCAGCCCTTTTCATTTTTTATATTGAGATGGGGTCTCTCTAAGTTACCCTGGCTGGACTCGAACTTCTGATTCTCTGGCTTCAACCTCCCAAGTAGCTGGGATTAAGTATCTTAAGTATCCCCCAAAGCTCTATGTGGTAAAGGCTTGTTCCTCAGAATGGCCCTACTGGGAGACAATAGAACCTTCCAGAGGTGAAACCTAATGAGAGGTCTTTAGGTAATCCAGGACATGTCCTTGAAGGTACTTTGGAACTCCAGTTCCTTGCACTCTCTCTTTTGCTTATTAGCTATGAAGTGCTCCCTTCATTAGGTGCTTCCTTGCCACAGGCCCAGAAGTAACAGGGCCAAATGATTATGGACTGAAATCTTTAAGACCAAGAGCCAAAGTAAATCTTTTCTGCTATGGTGTGATTATCTCAGGTATTTATAAGTTGATTATCTCAGGTATTTGTTTTACCTAACCCAATTATGTAGCCTCAGGCATTTTGTTATAGCAACATAAATGTACTAAGACAAACACTTTATGCACTTCTAAAAACTTTTTATTTTAAAAATATTTGAATACACACAAAAGTAGAGGGAAGAACTGGGCGCAGATGGCATTTGCCTCAGGAGCTTGAGGCAGGAGGATCACAAGTTCAAGGCCAGCCTAAGAAATTTAATGAGAATTTGTCACACCAAAGGAGGAGATCTGGGGGCACAGCTTAGTGGTAGAGCACCTCTGGGTTTAATTCCCAGTACTACTAACTAACTAAATAAATAAGTAAGTAGACCAAAGAAATTAATGAACCCTAAACTACCCATCATCCAGCTTACATAACTATTAACACTCTGCTATTTTAATTTATCTATCCATTCCTCATTCTTTTTTTCTTTTTTTTTTTTGTTTTACTCATAAAATCTTCAATAGGCAAGTAGGTACACTTCTACTGTATAAATGCAATTGTAGGAGGAAATCTGTTTATGTATCAGAAGCCAAAGTAGTCCCTGAGACATACAATTAAAAATCATTATGCTGTACATTATGAGCATTATCTGGAGCTGTTTACTTTCCCACACACTAGGTTTCTCAAGCAGTTATGTTGGACCCCAATGGAATGACAACGTGGAGGAACTGCCTCATACCTCAGGTGGTTAAGTTATTTGGCCATGAGCCGAATCTCTTCCAACATGCTGTCACACCCTTCCCCATCCGAACAAACACAAAGAGATGTCTCCCATAGAGTCACCTACTTGGCTGAACTGTGTACCTGGTAACCTCCTTGGAAGCTTCCTTCATGGGTATTTTTCTCTTCTACACAAAGTGTGCCTATGACATAAACCAAGAATGACAAAAACAGGAAAGCCCAATCCTGCAGAGACTGAGGAATGAAGGCCTGCTTGGTCACAGGTCCCAAATTCATAACTCTGATCTGAAAAAAAAAAAAACAAAGGGTGACACTTGTTCTGCATCCACTTTAAAATTAAGAAATACAGTATTGAGAGGAAAGTGCAATGACAAATAAGAACTCTAGCACTCACTGATCATAAAAATGAAAAGGGACAAATATGTTTATCCTGAGCAACATCACAAATCATTTCACAGCTGTTATTTTTGGCAGTCATTGCCCTGGATGGCTCATGGTATATTATCATCACCTCAGACAAAACTCGGACAGGCAACGATACATTATTGTCTCAAGAAAAAAACTAGTTTAAGGAGTAGGATTTTTTTATTAGACAATATTTAAAAGCACAGAAAGGTTTTTTAAAGGAAAAAAAAGATCAGAAATAGGGTCAAGAATGTAGATCAGGGCTGGGGATGTGGCTCAAGTGGTAGTGCGCTCGCCTGGCATGCGTGCGGCCTGGGTTTGATCCTCAGCACCACATACACACAAAGATGTTGTGTCCGCCAAAAACTAAAAAATAAATATTAAAAAATTCTCTTTCTCTCTCTCATCTCTCTCTCTCTCTCTCTCTCTCTCTCTCTCTCTCTCACGGGCGCGCACTTAAAAAAAAATGTAGATCAGTGGTAGAGCACTTTACTAGCATGCACAAAGCCTTGGGATCAATATCATCTCTCTCTCTCTCTCTGTCTCTCTCTCTCTTTCACACACATACACGAAAAACCCCTCAGTAATAAATCCAAAGGTATTATCCACTTACTCATCTAGATGACATGACCATTTCCAACTACCTAATTTGGCCAGATTTACCTGTTCAAAATACTATAAAGAAAAATAGATTGACAGCATTGGTTAGGCCTCATTCTGCCTCCATGGGCTACCAGCTACACTGCCAACACTAAACCAGGTAACTCTGTACTTCTGACCTTCCCCGTCTCTCATCTCCCTCCTCCAACAGGTGCTTCAGACTCCTCCAAATTGGTCACATGTGCACCATGTGCACCACCACCAGATCTAAGATTTCTAAAGATCAGACACACTAGTGGCAGGTGCTCAGTAAGTGAGATGAGGAAGGAAGGTGGACCTTAGCCCTCCCCATTTAAGCCAGTGTCTGAAAAACTCAAAGGTGTTTAGCCTACTATGTCCTATTTTTCAGGGAAAAAAAAATGAATTTAGAAAGTTATCTTTTTATATCTCAGTTCAGTCTTCATGAGCAGTGAGTTTTTGCTCTGGCACCATCCTCTGAACTGTGCTCCACTGCCCACCTCGGGATGCCATCTCAACCAATTACCATGTTGTCTTCCCAAGGGCAGAGGCCAATGCTAATTACTCTCCTAGCACAGGCAAAGCAGGGTGACAAAATTTGTGTTTCCTCAGGTCCCTCAGTTAAATGGAAGAGAAAAGCTGCTTCATATAGAATTTGAACACGAAAGGTAGAAAGAGCAGGGCACAATGGCATGCATTTGCAATCCCAGTGACTTACGAGGCTGAGGCAGGAGGATCACAAGTTTGAGGCCAGCCTCAGCAACTTAGTGAGGCCCTAAGCAATTTAGCAAGACTATGTCTTAAAAATAAAAAAGGGCTGTGGATGTAGCTCTGTGGTAGAATACTTGAATTCAATCCCAATACCAAAAAAAAAAAAAA